CCCCAATATCACATCCAAATAAATGGAAATAACATTTGTACAGCTCCCTTGGACAGGAAGGTTGAAGGTGCTTGCAAAGACCACAGTGTCTGGCCTTACCAGCTCTGCAAATCAGGTTTGTCACCTAAGCTTTATCAGCAGCGCCGAGGAGAGCTGCTGTCGTTCCCTGCCCCTGAAGGAGCAGGACAGACGTGTCCTTTCAGACGGCACCCACTTGCTTGGGATGTGGTTGTGGCTCCCCGGAGCCGCAGCTTGCTCTTCAGTGCTTGTCACTCAGTCAACAAGCGGGACCTCGGCGCTGGGGTTACTGAAAATCCTTCAGTGTGTCCGTGAAATGACTCAACGCCAGGTTAAACTTGCCCTGCTGCCACGCCAGCATGCCTCATTTTGCTTGTAAGGTCTGGCGTCAAAGCCTTTTCATCCCTCTTCGTGACAGACAGGTCCTCTGTTCGGCTCGGTGATGTCCCAGTTTGTACGTAGTTAGCTTGCTGCGGCTATGAGCATCGTGCTGCTTGCTTTTCTTTTCCTCTTTTTTTTTCATTAAGACTGTGACCAAGCTGGTGTTACTATCTGAAAAAAAAAAAAATGCCATCGAATATGTGCGTTTGACTCTGTTAATTTGCTTTCAGATAATCAATGCCACTGTGCTTTATTTTACCACAAAACAAGAAGACACATGAACTTCCAAACTGCAACCAGGCTCTTCTGTCACTGAATAAAATGTTGTTTCTCAAATCCTGAGTGCTGCCATGGTGAAAGGGGAAGCTGAGCAGATGAGGGAGGGAAGCAGGCGCTTCCCCAGGGTGTGTTGGACTGCACCCGGAGTCAGCAACACTGGGTTTTGCAGGTAGTGTGTGACTAAGTCCATCAGTTCAGGCTTTAAAAAGCACCACCACACCCCAACAAGCGAAAACAAACTGTGGCTTCATGCCTGCATGTTTTAATAACCCGGTTTGACCAGGGATAATTAAACCATAAATGCAGTGGCACAGTGTAGGAAGATGTCTGCTTAGCTGAACTGAAACTTGATGTGTTTTGGGTTTGTTGTTCCATAAAGGATGTGCTAAGTGGAGCTTGTTTCCATCACTGGGATGGATCCCATAATGGTGAGAGAGGGGGAAAAAAAAAAGATTAAGAAAGGCTCAGTGCTTTTCCTGAAGCTTAAGGATGCATTGGCTGATGTGGATTCAATTCCTTTGAGAAACGATGGAATGTAATTTGATTATGGCAAAGAACTGCAAGGGTGCCTTTCTCCTGGTGTCTGTTTTTCACTGTTAGTTTTTGACCGAGAGGTTTAAAAGAGATATTTGAATTTAGTATGATATTTAAACAAGGTGTAGGACTATGCGAGCACTTTGCATGCACCTGAAGAGTCTTGCATGTACGGTGCATCTTGGCATGGGTGCGGTTCTCCAGAGTGTTGGGCAAAGCAGGCACGTGAGTAACGTACACCTTTGTCTTTCAGCTGCTTTTGCAGGTACGATGGCCCGTGTCTTCGTCTACGGCACGCTTAAGAAGGGCCAGCCCAACTACAAGTACATGATCAACACGGCCAAGGGGCTAGCGAAATTCCAAGGAAGGGGCCGCACGGTGGAGAAGTACCCGCTGGTGATTGCAGGAAAATACAACATTCCTTACATGCTGAACATCCCGGGAACAGGACACCACGTCGCTGGGGAGATCTACTCGGTTGACGACCAGATGCTGCAGTTCTTGGATGAGTTTGAAGGCTGCCCAGACATGTACCAGCGTACCCTGATGAGAATCGAGGTGGTGGAGTGGGAAGGGAAGGGCGGTGCGGGCGAGGCGCGGGCAGCTGCCGAGGGCGTCGTGGAGTGCTTCGTGTACAGCACGATGACGTACCCGCCCGAGTGGGTCAGCCTCCCCTACCATGACAGTTACGACTCCTCGGGGAAACACGGCCTCTCCTACGTTCTACGTGAAAGCCGGGATTAGAAACGGGAGATAACGCAGCCCGGCCGAAGACGTAGTACTAAGCACGTGTCGATCGGTAACCTTTCCAGGAAAGCTGTAATACCTTTCTATTAAAACACAGGATCTCTTGTAACCTTCCCAACCCGGGAGCCTTGGCGCTAGCGTTGAAGTCTTGTAGGCCCTGAGATGGGGGCTCCTCCCCGGCTAGTCAGCATCCTCCTCGCCACTGCTAACCTGCTAAGAGTAACTGGGTTTGCACGAGGTGTAAAATAACCATATCTGGGCACATCGGTTTTGGGGTCTAGTTATTTTCTCCATTCCCCTCTTTGCCTCAGTGCATGACTCAGGTCAGTGAAAGGCAGAGGAACAGACTAATTTTCTTTTTTACCTGAACTGACACATTTTCTTGTGTAGTTCTCCAAGGTGGGTGGAATAACGCTGATACTATTGCACTAATAGCTGAAACTGATTTTAAAAAATCATGGTCTGCAAACAAAGCGCAACTCGCGTTTAATATTGACTTGTAATGGTGTTTAGTAGGTTACTGAAGGTAAACAGGGAGAGATGACCATATAGATACTGTGCGCTTCAAGACAAATACAAAATTGCTGGTGAAATAGAGAAAATTTAAAGACTATTCTTACTCTGTATTGCAATGTTTTTCTGAACTGGAAAGGAGTATTTTTAGAACATGTTTAGTTTTATAAGGTACTGTGAAGAAATATTAAAAGAGTATAAGAGAATTACATTTAAAATCGTTATTTTTAATATAGCATTCTAAGCACTTTAGGTACCACTAAAGTTCACTGAGTGACTGTAGGATTTGGGGGGGGTGTGGGGGGTGTTGGGGACCAGGAAAAGCAAACCTGCTTTCAGCTGCCCACCACGCTACAGCGGATGCAGCTGTTCTGAGCACTTACTACCAAGGTGACTATTTGCCAAGCACTTTAATGCAGAACTTGCAACCATATGCAAACTGTATTTCCTATCAGGGAAAAGATTTTCTAGACATTATAAAAAAATATCCAAAGGACCTGTATTGTTGAAACATTTAAACGGGGGGGGCGGGAAGATGGAAGGAAGAGTATTGTCCCCCTGACCCAGCCAACTGTGCTGGTTTCTGTACCGTCTGGGAAAATCGTGGCTTTCTGTTGTTACGCTCCTGTGCCTTATATTTTCCTTCAGCTGCAGTGTTTGGTACGTATAGATTGTACAGTATACAAAGCTGCTAAAGGGATGTGAGCAGGGACCATACGCCATGCAGTGAGCCAGAGTACAATTAAATGTACTAAGGATACCATTAAGAACAATATTGTACTTTTGCTTCACTGCCAGTAGCCCTGTGATGGCCGAACGAGATCCAGGGTAGGGAATCAGCCCAGGGATCCAGGGTAAGGAATCAGCCTAAACTTGATCAGTAGTAGGCACTGCTGCATCTCATTTAGAAAAACAGACAGAAAGCTTGTGTTGCTACAGGAAGCAAATTAAGTAATTTTAAAGTAGAATACTTCTGTCTCTTTACAATACTTGGTTTTTGTTTAGCCCAACCTGCAGAAGCTGAACTGTGCTCCTTTTGGAAGGGGCAAGATGGCATTAAGGAAGTTTGTAGGAAGATCTGCAGGGTGTCTGCCTCAGTTTCTCCAACTGCAAAAGCATTGATTTTCCTGGAGGGCAGGTACTTCCCAAACACTCTCCTTACTCATCTCGATAGGTTTTGTAAACTAACAAAGCAGATCCCTGCGCTACATTATTCCCCCTTGGCCGTGCGTTGTAGCTGGCAGCATCTCAGTAACATGAAAAATGCCTCTTCAGTCAGAAGTTTCAAGCAGAATCACAAACCTTTCTGGTTGAACATGAGTCACCAGCCCTGTCGCAGACTGTTTTCATCCTCCACCTTCCGGTAAAGGGCCCAGGCACCTCTGGCCAGAGGGGTTTTTCTGGGAAGTAGCATGACTCTGCACATCCTAGGCAAGAAAATGAGAGCAGGCCCCCTCTTCTCTGGCACAGGGGTCAAGGCACAGCAGGAACAGTGAACTTAGACGTACGTATAAAAAAAAAAAAAGCTGTAGGAGGTGAGGCCAAAGGCAGGAGTAGCTCAGTATCCTGGCCCAGCAATGGGCAGCAGCGGAGGCCTAGGGAAGAGCCAAGGGACAGAGATGATGCTTACAGCGTGCAGGGACCACGGAAGTATGACTGTATCCAGTGAGCTGCAGACTTACTGAGCTAGATCAATTAATGGAAGAAAGAGCCTCCATTAACCACACACTAACATTTTGAACCCAGTAAACTTCTCGTATCTTTACCATCCTGTGGCGTGGAGTTCCTGAGTGAGGAGGAGAAAAAAAATACATCCTCATACCCATTCCAACCAAGTCACCAGCCCTCTCACTTCTGTTCTAGTCTCTTAAATCTTCCTCCTCTCCAGGCCCTCTCTGGTTTCCCACACTGGATATGCAGCTCTTCCAGCAGGATATAGTTACGTATTATGAACAGTCCTAGTTCTTCACAGTGTCTTTAGTAAGAGCCTCTGCACAACGAAAGATCAGATGCTTGGGTCTTCCTTTCCTGTAAGTTCAGGAGGAGGCTTGGCCGGAGGGACAGCAAGTGCCTCCAGCAATACTTTGGGGTATCTAAGGGGCTTCAAGGACAGTGCCAGCTCCTTCTATAAGGACTTGCATCCAGTAATCAGTTGGAAGAAGATGAAGTGGGGGGAGTCTGGAGTGTGGAGTCTGAATAAAAGAAGAAAATTCCCTTACAACTGTAAATGACAATTCACGGGGAAAGTCTGCACTAGCAAAATAAAACATCTAACCTGTAATTTAAATCTAGTCTATACAAAGGCTTCAAAATATTACACTAAATCCAATCAGAACTTAAGCCATTGGCAGTGCTTGTTCAGCGTTTACACAGAGCATAGGAAAACTGCTCTGTTAACCACTCAGTGGTTAATTTTTCACTTACCAACCATTCTGGTCAATTTGGCTGGGGCCTCAATCCAGTGATATTCCTATGGAGAAGATGACTTGGATTTGGGCTTTTGTTTGCTTTTTTTAAAAAAGAGGCTTTTCCTGTTTTAAAGCAGAAAGGGTATTTTATTGATTTTATTTGATCCCGAAAAATCAAAGAATTACAAAGGTTATGTACAAGTATTTCTGGAAGTAAAAATCTGGGATCTGTTGCCAAGGTTTAACATCTGTGTTTGCTGTCTTAACCACTGATACAATAAATATGACTGTATAAAATCTTGCACATAGGACTGTCCATCTTGTGTGTTGAATTGCCTTAATTTTACTTTATGGGTGGAACTAATAAAGGCTTAGCTAATTCAACAGTGTGGAGGCAACCTTTCATTCCAGTTCCACCAGCAGATCTCCTTCTCCAACGGTATCACCAGCTTTGCAGTGCACAGCTTTCACCTACAGTAACGAAACAGAAACAATTTCAAATCTTCCTCAATAGCACAGTTAAATAAATGGCTTGGTTGACATTGCTTTATATATAGACTATCACATCTGCATGCACAGGGTAAGTGGCCACTATACAACATTATGACCACCACGGGGATCACAGGCGTACATATGTTGGAAGGGCCTCGAGAGGTTGCCAGCTCAACCTCCAATGCTCAGAGTCCAGCTGAGTTTTGAGTATCTCTGAGGGTGGAAGACTTCACAACCTGTGGGCAGCCTGCTCCAGTGCTTGACCAAATCGTGTCCAACTCCATGAAGGTATTTAGGCACCTACCACTTGCTGGTTTTCTTATTACTTACGTGCTTGATGATCTGAACATCAGATTTGAGATGGCACTTTGAAAATTCAAAAGGACCTTTCTTCCACCTATTTTCACTGCTGTTCATTTACTACTAAATTTGTAAATCTTTTAGATGACAGGCTGACTCTTCAACACTTACGCTTGGCCGTTTCAATGACATATTCCAGTATCTCTTGCATTACAGATTTTAAGTATAACTTGATTTTGGAACTGCAGCCATGAACAGCGTTTCCCTCAATCCCCAGACAGCTGAGATGATAGATTGATTCAAGTCTGAATTTGGATCCTTTAACATAACTGAACTGGGCAAAGGGCTACCACTGTCAAATAAATGCAACTACATCTGTAGATAAATTATATACTCCCGTGCCGATTCCTGAATTTTAAAACACATCTTATACGAGTCCCTCATTTCCTTTATAAAAGGCTGTAGTGTGTTTGAATCCCTTTTCAGCACACGGCGCTCCAGAAAATACTTGAAGCTGTATATTAGAGGTCGCTTGCAAGTATTAACTCAGAGCTCACACATGCCAAATCCTTGGTCAAAACCTTGTTCAGCAGTTAGCTCAGTTCGGTCATCCAAACGTTACCTTGGGCTCCTGAAGGAAACCTGCAGCATAGCCGAAATATCAGGCTGCTATGGCTACACTATTGCCCACGTCCGAGTTTGATAGTCTAAAGCCACGTGAGCTGTAAGCATATCTCTGGCTCTGCAGCACAGGTGTATTCACCGTGTTGCCCCGAAATGAAGCTGAACACTGTACATAGGCAAAGACACCATGAGATGTACAAAAAAGATCCTTATTCCTAAATCAATAGCTAGGCAGCCTACCCGATTCCCCAGTCTCGAGCTTTTAAGAGATGGAAGCAGTGTGAAAAATATTCTACTTCCTTCTTTTTCTACAAAGCCAAGGTTCAGCAAACATTGTAGCTGGCCAGTGTTTCAAACTCCCCAGTGATTTTTGACATGCAGCGGGGCCAGCTCCTCGTTCTGACCCACGCGCAGCTGTCCCGTAGGACACAGGAGGCACGCCAGTTCCTCTCCATCTTTCCCTCATTTTTAAACCACCTGCAGCTGGAGTAGATAAAAACAAGCCACTTTTCTCACAATTACAAACAGGAAGATGGGGTTTGATGCCGAAAAGGAATTCAGCCGGGAATGAAAATGGGAACGTCTTCCAGCTGAAGACAATCAAACTGAGTTTCAAAACACAGTTTCAAAGCATCAAAACGTGGACTAACAGCCAGTGCCACACATCCCAGTGCTGCGGAGGGGCCAAGTTATTTTAGCACTCAGAGCCATGACTTTGCACCGCAGAACAGGACGCATTCTGTTTAGCAGCTTCATTTCTACACAGCCCAAAACATTTTTTTTTTGCTTTTTCAAATTCTTAAAATTCTAAAGAATCAAATCATTTGCTTATGATTAAAACGGAGACGCCCAGGGGACATTTCAAGGTGCACCTCGGGCCCACTGAATGGCCTGTGCACCATTCAAATCCCACTTTGAAAGATTAACAAGCCAAATGGGGGTTTTACGTGGCGTCTGTATAGAGTGAGTGGGAGATATTTATTATCAGGAGAAGTACAAGCAGGATTTTAAGGAACGGGCCCATGGTTTGCAGCACACCTCCGTGGGAAAGGGAAGGTTTAAGTAAAAAATAAAAGGGTGGGAGAGGGAATGGCATTTTAATTACAAATACTCACTAGTTACAAACAGTGGATGCAAAGAACAGCAATAAGGGGGTAAACAAAAGAAACAAAGATGAAAAGCTAAATGCTGGGAAATACTAGTCAAGTGAGAAAATAAATTACATAGGAATTAACGCATGAAATAAAATAATAAAGTGGCAATGCTAGAGCAACAGGAGAAGGTACGTTCTCCCTCTCTCTGCAATTTTTTTTCCTCAAGACCCAGTTTTGCACTTGAGGCACTGGAAGAGGCAAGCCCTGGGTCCCAGCCTCAGCGACGATCTTAGTGCTGTGCCAAACAAGCCTTTCTTGTAAACACACAAACAGTCCTTGGCACAGAGACCCATCTTGAGATCCCAGCGAATCTTGCCAGTGACTAACCTCGTCCCTGCCCTGGAGAGTCAGGCTGCTTGCTGCCTCCCTCGGGGCTAAGGGATCTCGCCTTGGGTTTGGTTTTGCTGGTTTTAATAACAAAATGGCAGTGCTTCAGGGAGCACAGAGGGGCTTGTCCCCAGGCAGAAAAGGGCTAGGACGTGCTGGGAAATACGAGATAGAGGAGAATGTATAATCCAGGTCTTTGGCAAGGACTCTGGACCAGTGACTCCTCAAAAGTGACTCTGCTCTCCCTTTGAAAAGGATGGATCGGGGGCCCGTGTCTAGGTGATCGTTTCAGGCTGGGAATTATAATCTGCCACAGGGATGCTCCAAGGCCCTGATTTAGCAGCTGACAGTCCCCAGACTCGATGGGGTTTAAGGCACGCCCTTGTCATACCAGTTTAACAGTTCCCTGCCCAGAGCGCTGGTTTTGGTGCGTCCTGTACTGCAGGAGTCGTCGTCCCAGCTCAGGGACTGCAACGCTGATCCCCCTAGAAGCCAGGCACAGCCTTGCAAAGCTTAATGCACTTGCAGATCTAGGCTTCATATTTACAGTCACAATAATAAAAAAAAATTGCTTTTCTCATCTTCCTGCAAAAGCACTTTCTATGCCTTGCTCTGAGTGGGTTTTTAATATCAAATTGTTTGCCATTAATGAATTAACTGGCAAAGAGATCTCTTCAGTTGCTCGCTGGAAAGGTGGAATTTGGAGAAACGGTCTGCAACACCTTTCAATTCAGCTTGGCATTGTAACATCATAGGAAACAAATCATTTAGGAGAAAAAGAGTTATATGAATTTCTGAAGCCAGTAAAACTCTTTCCTGCTGTGCTATCTAAGGCTCGGAACTACTTAACAGCATTCACAGCAGATGCAAATGTTAAAAATTAAAGACACCTTACTTCGAAAGACTTACAACAATCAGGCTTAATTCCTTAACAACCAGAATCCTCCTTTTTTCCTTTTGAAATTCTATCCTATTTGACAAGTTGCATATGGTTTTAAGTGACCCAAGGTAGCTTACCTTGCCTGTTTTAGCAGCAATCATACTGTTCTGCATTTTCATTGCTTCAATTACACAAATCTCTTGACCTTCTGAAACCTGGTAAAATTAAAGCAGTACAAAATGAGGATAGAGGATTTGAAATGCTCTAAGTGTGTATGATTCTTCTGGAAAATAAAGGGATTATTTCATTAAATGCCAAAAAGACTTTGACAGCACATGTCAAGTCAGCCAGCTATACAGTCACGACACAAACCACAATCACAAATCGCAGTTGCCTTTGACAAGCTAGCAGCAACATAGGGAAAAAGGAGTCACCTACTTAAAACTATCACCCCAGACAAACCTGAAAGGCTCCTCTCCCATCCCACCCATTCAGCCCCAACTTCTACAGCTCGCATTTCACATCCGTCACAGTTTGACATTAAACCCAGAGCAAAATTCAATCTGTGCAGTTTTGGCCATTGAGCCTTTGCTTTGCTTCCCTGGCGCAGATCCTGCAGATACTAATCCTGACTCAATTCAAAAGCCGAAAGTTTCTTGGCACGTGTCCGGGGAAGCATGGGCTAGAAGTTCCGGCAACCCCCGACGGGCTAATGCGGAGCAGAAAGTCACACCTCTGCAGGTGGCAGTATCCGGATGGCGGCTGACGACTTCGGACTGACGGAAGGGAGCACGCCTGCAAGGAACCACCACCTCTCATCCGCAAGGGAAGCATCACGGAGGCAAAAACGACATTTCTGCTGCAGCTGATAGCTCTTAAAGGGAAACATGCAAGTCTCCTTTTTCGGCTTGTTCGCACTCTGCTAACAGGCACGAGCAAGCTCAAGGTCACCAGTAACCCACTGGGCTGCTCTGCTGGGCTCCCTGTGCCTCCCAGTCAGGTCCTCCCCCCAACACCTTGGGCCACACTGCGCAGAGGAAACAGCGGCTCGAGGCTTTACAAGGAGAGGCGGCTGCCTATACGTGAGGGGAAAAACACAGGATTCAGAATTTATCCCTTGTGTAAGCCAGCGATCAGCCGGTCATCCCAGGAAGACGATGTATGCCGGAGAGGGAAGGGCACTACCTGCCAGTATTTAGGACTTGTGCAGGTACACCCCTCTGGGACACCTGGATCCGAGCGCTCACTGCAAGTCTTTTCATTGGGCTCTTTTGCAGATGTAGTCTGCCATTCACTCATTATCCCAGAAAATTTGGGATGCTTTCACTCCGATGTCAAAGTTTCCTTAAAGAGAGTAACGTGAGACCTGCAGAGATCTGGTTTATGAGTTGTTATATGTGGCAATGCCCTCCAAATGTGTTTGTTTATATACATACATGCATATATACACATGGATGTATTTCTCTAAATACATGTAAAATGAATAATACATATTTAAGGACAAGAGTGTAACACTTTGGAGGAATATATTGTCTAACAGGCAGTTGTGAAGTCAGAGATCAAATGCACATTGCACGACGTACATTCTGAAAATGTAAATAAAGCTTTTTTTCTAAAGCGTGTACTAGCAATGACTGAAAAGCACTGATGTCTGCCTATGGATTCTGAGCAAGACAGAAACAAAGAAGTTACGTTAAAAGGTGCTTACACACCCTTTCTCCAACAGACTGCCAACAGCAATATGACGGGATTTGAGGGGTAAATAAGGAAAGCATTTGCTATGGGAACATGGTTTACTAACCGGATACAGAGAATAACCAACACCTAACACTTCACCTGCAGAAATTCCATCCTGAGCTTCAGGCAAGCATTTAAGTCATTAGCAGTGTCAAATTTGGTGAATAGTATCAAAGACTTGTTCTTTGTCCCCAGTTATTTCCCCTCTATTCCCTTTCCCTGTCTTTTGTCTCCTTCCTTCCACACCTGCTGCTCTGCCTGTAGCCTTGTCCCAGCAGCTCTTTCTTTCTTTTCTGGCTTCTTTTCCTCTTCTTTTCCCTATCTCACTGCTCAGCTTTTCTTCCATCTGCTCTGAACTTTCCAGACATTTCTGAGGTTAAGAGGAAGCTATGAATATCTACTTGATTGTTTTTTTTTTTTTTTTAAAAAAAAAAAGCGGGAATGGTTGTTGGAGGTATTTTTTTAATAGCATATTTCAGAAACAAGTTTGCCACCCTCTGGTTAAACTCAGCTATCAGAGCACCAAGAACAGGGGCCTTGAAAGGTTGCTGAAGACTGAGATGCTAAGGAGTGCAGATATGAATTGAGTGGCCTAATTTCAAGGGTACAAGAAACTCTTCCCTTGAGCCCCAGTGCGATTCAGCTGTAACATGGCTTCCTCAGGTGGATGGCATGCAAATGAACCAGTTAGCAATTATCTAAACAGAGTTCTGGAAATACATCTACTGGAAAAGTACAGAATTGTCTCTGTAGATCTTAAGTACAGCACTAAAATGCCAGGAAGTATTAGTGGTTGTGGGACGGAATCCATGAATCTGAATTTCTCCTCAGTTTCCCCCCTTTCTCAAAAATAAAGTTTTTGCGTTTGATATAATACCTGCTGGGTTGATGACAAAGGAAGGGGTGTCTGGGAAGGAAATAACCCCCCAACCCACAAAATAAACAAAGTATCCAGTTAACATCTAGTCTCAGTAATTTGGAAGGAAGGAGGCACTTTCAGCAGGTACCACGTGTGAAAATGCTGTGTCAGTACTTCTGATGATGTGCAATTTGTCGAAAATTACCTTGGTGAAAGTGTCACTTAAGCATGGAAGTTTAATTACTGTTCTTATGTTAAACCTTTACAGCTCCACTCATTGTGTTGCAAAGCGACAAATCCTAAAATTAGGCACTTGTACCTCTCTCTTCTCTTTTCCAGTCTTTTGGGCACTGTCCAATTTCTTTCATTCCATAATTGCACGTATCCTTTTGCCTGTTATTTAGCCTGCAAATGAAAACCGCAGCTATGTGCAGAAGTTCTTGCTTTCTAACTTATTTAAGGATTTATCTGGACCATTTTTAATGTTGCATTTTCATCGTCTAATTTATTTCTTTCAGTGGATGGTTAACCAATGTAAACCACCATCTTTACATTTCAATTTAGAGAGGTCTCAGTGATGACCCAAATCTGTCAAAACAGGCAAATAAGATCAAACAAAAAATCTGATTGATTGGAACCAAGTAAAATAAAAGGGCTCCTTTTCTTAAAAGAAATCAAACTCAGGTATCTTTCTCACAGAGTTACGCTACAGACAAAGCTACCTTCACATCGCTTGGAATATCAAAATAAATGAGTGATTAACCGTTAGGCCTGCAGTCTGTATTTTAGTAGTTTATTTCTGCATGGCGCAGGTCAAAGTAGCTGTTCAGTTTTGTTCTCCACAGAGTGGGGAGGGGGGAGGAGGAAAAAAAAAAATCACCGAAGAGGGCGTACTTAACATCTCGACATTGCTAACAATTCTGACGTGAATTTGGGAACAGTCAATAGCACTGTCTGAATAACTCAGGGACTGCATGGTGGTTGTTATCTCCTCCGGCCAAGAGGCTACACACGGGACAGGGAACCGTCTCCAGTCATTTCCCGGCCAAGCCACTCACGACATGGGGTGGAAGCAGAATCTGAGAAGCAGCAACCCCGAGCCACTTTCGTTTCACCTACAGGAGGACCATAAAGACTAACTGCACTTACAGATAGCTCTCTCTAAAACTCAGAGACACCAAACGACAGCACGGATCCAAGGGCACTGCTGCCGCGGGATCTTTGTGAATATGGTACGCTTTCCTCAGACTTTTGTGCGTCATCTGATGAAGACTTAATGATTGTGACAGGACGTCTTCAACGTTAGGCTTCCAAAATGGTCACAAGCCCCACAAGTCTTTCTGATAAACCCAATGGGCACTGATGTATCTTGCCGCTCCCTGTCTAATTGGTGTAAAGTTTGCAGATCTGAATCCCCTATCTTTTATCCAGCTTGCTGCGTCCTCTCCTTTGACATGAGGTCAGGGTTCACATTCGCATCCGATTATCGAAGTGGCACTCATTAACCGGCAGCCCGCCTCGCTCCAAAATGAGTTCGCTGGAAGGGGAACTCGGCCCATTTACTCAGCAGATTTTAGCATTTTAAGGAGGCCTGAATGTCACACAGTATTGCTACGTTTTGAGGAGTTTCAGACATCTCCAGCTGATGATTAATTGTGAGTGATGGGAAATAAAATCCAGTAAAGCCAGCTGCTTGCCATGGTCGGCAAAATTACTATAATGGATATAGGCTGCCAATTTTCCAGTTTTACTGGCAAGTCTTCCAAGTGTAATTAAGGGAAGTTATAAATGATATGGAAATCTATCAAGTCCCATTTAT